CTGAGATAGATAGATAGATAGATAGATAGATAGATAGATAGATAGATAGATAGATAGATAGATAGATAGATAGATAGATAGATAGATAGATAGATAGGACAGACAGACAGACAGACAGACAGATAGATAGATAGATAGATAGATAGATAGATAGATAGATAGATAGATAGATAGATAGATAGATAGATAGATAGATAGATAGACAGATAGATAGATAGGATAGACAGACAGACAGACAGACAATCATAATATTATTTTCAAAGTAATATATATATAATGTATAATATATTATATATACTATAAAATATATAATACTAACAATGATATATGATAATAATAAATTACATATGTTATGACTCCTTTACGTTGAAAATAAGCACATCAGAGCACAGTGTTGTCAGATCTGAGCACTTAACTAGTATTTAGGAAATGTTATTTATGCTGTAACAGCTGGATCCCATCATACATACAACACACAACTGTTCTTCAGACAGACATTAAGAATTAAAACATGCATTTATAACCATTCTCAAAAAGCACAGTTATGACCCATTCCATGTTACATGAGAGAGTTAATGCACTTTTAAAGGCACTAAAATTAGAGACAATTCATCATCATTAAGAAGTGCATTTGTTGCAAATCACAGTGGATTGAGTTGAACATGGTTCTGAGAAATGTGTGTATACATAAATAAACACATACTTAACGATACAGATTATTTAAAACTAAGATCAATCAGATCATAACTCATAATGCAGCTAAAATTAGTGGTTTCATTTTCATTTGAGTGTAATGAAGACATTTCTGTTTCCATCTGTAATGTGAAGATTTCAGGTTATACAGGTATTAAATATTATTTTCATAAAAACATGTTATTAAAAACATGGCTTTGATTACTGAAACAGACTCATGCATGTACAAATCTCTATTTCAGACGGAAATGAGACTTCACAAAGCCAACTATATTAAAAGTCATTTCTCTTCCTGAGTTGATCTGAACACATGTGTGTTCTCTCATCTTGAACATCTTACAGTAATCATTAGGTTATTGCTGCTTTAATAAGTTCAGGTTTAGAGCACGGTGTAAAACAGATCTCTGTGTTCCCCAGAGAGCTTTTGACAACAACCCTAAAGCCACAGCTATTATACCTACCACACCTGTGTGTGTGTGTGTGAGTGAGTGAGTGAGTGTGTGAGTGAGTGTGTGTGTGTGTGTGTGTGAGTGAGTGAGAGAGAGAGTGTGTGTGTGTGTGTGTGTGAGTGAGTGAGAGAGAGAGTGTGTGTGTGTGTGTGTGTGAGTGAGTGAGAGAGAGAGTGTGTGTGTGTGTGTGTGTGAGTGAGTGAGAGAGAGAGTGTGTGTGTGTGTGTGTGTGAGTGAGTGAGAGAGAGAGTGTGTGTGTGTGTGTGTGTGAGTGAGTGAGAGAGAGAGTGTGTGTGTGTGTGTGTGTGAGTGAGTGAGAGAGAGAGTGTGTGTGTGTGTGTGTGTGAGTGAGTGAGAGAGAGAGTGTGTGTGTGTGTGTGTGTGAGTGAGTGAGAGAGAGAGTGTGTGTGTGTGTGTGTGTGAGTGAGTGAGAGAGAGAGTGTGTGTGTGTGTGTGTGTGAGTGAGTGAGAGAGAGAGTGTGTGTGTGTGTGTGTGTGAGTGAGTGAGAGAGAGAGTGTGTGTGTGTGTGTGTGTGAGTGAGTGAGAGAGAGAGTGTGTGTGTGTGTGTGTGTGAGTGTGTGTGAGTGTGTGTGTGTGTGTGTGTATGTGTTTGAGTAAGAAGCACTTTAAATGAGCTCTTATTTCATATTTTCTGGAGATTAACGACCCATCTTACTCCTGTTCTGTGTTTAATGATTTCCTGTGTGTGGCATGGTAAAGTCTGCACATCGTTTTTGGATTTACCTCAGGTACAGCTCGAGTTAGCAAGCAAAACTTAGTGAGTTTATTCTTAGAATTTAGAAAACTTTCCAAATGTGACTAACAAGACCCTATTAGAGTTTTATAGACAGCTTTGTAAGACATCTCTGCTCTCAATGTAAAGGTTGTTTTAAATGAAACAGCAAACTTCAATGATACATTTTGACTAAATGTTATGGCAGAATTAAAAACAATCCCACAATGCATTGCAAGAAACTCAGTGAAAAGATTCAAATGTACTTCAAATCTATATACTATACTATACTTGAAGGTAATATAATATATTGAAATAAAACGCCACTTAAGTGTATTTAAATTACATTAAGTTTTACTTTAAAATATATTTTAAATGTGCTAAATTGCAACTTCATCTTTGCAAATGTGTAATTACAAATAAAATGAAATACATGACATAAAATTTAGATATAAATGATAAATGTTTGTCAGTACATTTGACTACTCTTTAACCGTATTTCAAAGACAGTAGAAGTAATTATGAAATTACATAAAATATGTACTTAAGTCCTACTTATGTCAAAAGCACTCTTAAGTTTAAAAAACTAAATTTTATATACATTTTTTTATCAAATAACATGCTATTAAATGTCTAAAAACCTTACATTTTGTTCACAAGTATACACTTTTAAAATGTATTAAGTGCTCTTTTTAAAAGTATGCTAAAGTGTACTTCTTTTACACAAGGGTATCTAATACTTTAATCTAATTAAAAATTTATTTAACCAGTATTTGTGTTTTTAAACGTATTTTAATTTGAGCATTGATATTAGTTTAGCAACGTGCTAACAAAAAGGCAGCATAATTATCCTGCCTTCTTATTTACGATTCTCTGAGACAAAATTCCAAAAGAGAACCACATGTTTCATTTGTAGACAAAACATTTGAAAACGTGATTCCTCGTCTCAGGTGCTTTATAGTGTTTCTGTATGTGCGTCTGTTTGTTTAATAGCAGATTTGTTAAGATAACAACACTTTCCGCGGCACTGGTGAGGTTTGTCATCTCAGCCTAAGGATTGTGGGTCAGATAGTGTTTTCACATGTCTGCAGTTTGAGTTGGCCGGCCCACCGTAGAGCATCCAAGACCACAATGAGGCAGTAAAGTGGTTTAGGACTTCTGGATGACTTTCATACAGATCTCCTGCCAAAGACTTAATGGTTTCTACAGGTCCGTACCTACATGCTGTTTCAGTTACAGACACTGTATATGTGTACATCTCCCACAATTCATCTGATCGCCGTCATATGTAAACACTTACCACGTGTCGTATGCAAATGCTGCCAGATCTCTGACTCACACTGTCTGAGCAGCGGTGTGCCTAACACATTGTGCATCATCGAAAATAAACGTTATATGCTTGTGATTGTTCTGTGATGCAGCAACACCAATAGATTTACACTAAATGAGTCTCTCAAGAAAGTTGAGGGATGATAATTAGCTAGTTAAAGGAGTAGTTCAACCAAAAATTAAAATTTGCTGAAAATGTACTCAGCCTCAGGCACCCCGAGATGAGTTTGATGAGTTTGTTTCTTCATCAGATTTGGAGAAATGTAGCATTGCATCACTTGCTCAGCAATGGATCTTCTGTAGTGAATGGGTGCCGTCAGAATGAGAGTCCAAACAGCTGATAAAAACATCACAATAATCCACAAGTAATCCACACCACTCCAGTCCATCAGTTAATGTCTTGTGAAGTGAAAAGCTGCGTGTTTGTAAGAAAAAAAAAATCTATCATTAAAGCATTTTAACTGTCGCTTCTGGACAAAATACGAGTCCATAATCCATAATAATTCCACTAGTGAACAAGTCCATCCCCTGTTGTCCTCTCACATCAAAATCCACCGACATATTTGTTTAGGACTTTTGGACTGTTTTAACTTTTAGCGTATTTTTCTCTCGAGAGCTGATCCAGACGAGACAACCTTTTCACTGAAAGAAGCAATAATTACTTTTGCTGATGTAGCCTGGTTGATTTATTGCCATATTGTCATGTAGGCCTTACTACTTTTTCTTTTTTCTTTTTTTTTTTAGTAAAGAAAGCATTAAATTAATACTTTTATTCAGAAAGGACATATTAAATTGACCGAAAGTGACAGTAAAGACTTTTACACTGCTACAAAAAACTAAAAATATGTAAAAAAATATTTCACAATATTATATATATATATATATACACACACACGTATGTATGTATATAAAATGATTTTATTATATTTTTATTTATTTATAATAATAATACATACTAAAAAAAATTGAAAAAAATAATTCTAGGCAGCAATAACTGTGAGGAACATGCTAGATTTTAGTCAGTATTTAAGTATTTATTTAAGTCATTATGTAAGTCTTTCCAAAAATATTTATCACAAAAAAAATATTTACACCTAAATTTAGATTTATGTATTTGGATTGGATATGAAATTTCCATCCATTTGGATTACCCAATTTGAACATAAAACAAGTAATGCTTCTACTCAAAATCATGGCAAAGTTTATTTGATCTATTTCATTTTATTTAGATAATCATATTTTCAAAATGCATTTAATCAAATTGCTTAGAATCAGCATAAATCTGTTCACTGTAAAATCAAATTTATTTAGTTAAAAAGTATGAACATGGTTCAAATACAGCTAGCTGTGGCACAAGTGATATTCAATTGCAATAATCAATGCAATATTGAGATTTAAACTAATTGGAGTTTCTGATTAGTAATATGTACACTGTAAAAAAAAATCTTTTTATTATTTGTTTGTTTGTGTTGAGTGTGGCTTCAGAATCATGTACACATCTTTTGGACTATTTTATGATTATATTTTGTCTTTCATCATTTCCCATGAAGTCTGCTATATTTCTCTTTTTGTGTTCCACAGAAGAACATCAGTCATACCCGTCTGGAAGGACATGAGGGTGAGTAAATGCTGACAGCGTTTCCATTTTGGGTGAACTATCTCTTTAAGACTGGCTGATGGCTGTGGGTGGGGGTTATGATTTGGTGATTTGAGCCATCAGATTAAATCAGACCAGAAAAGAGGTCTGGTAGACGTAGCATTCATGCTTCCACTTCTGACACACTGGCATTGTAATGCGTACAGGGTTTAATCGGCTTGTGATGTGTGTTTGAAAAAGTTGTTTGATCTACATTATTCTTGTGTGAGTTAGTGTGTGTTAGAGAACGAAAGAGCCTGATTCTGAATGTAATAGTGCAAATAAGTGGAGGAAAAGGCTCTGCACAGTGTTTCCTGTGAATCAGGAAGCAGGAAGTGTGTGGAAGTGGAAGATTGTGCTTTGGGTCACTGAACAATGAGAGTAAGAGCTTAAAGGAAAGAGGCCTGCGTCAGTGTGAGAGCAGGGCGGGAGTGAGAGCTGAAGAGAACGAGAGAAGGCAAAATGATCTCTCATGGCTTTACTGTTCAGTGTGATCATGCCACAGATACTGCTCATTTAACATGTTCATTTACTGTTAATTATAAAAGCAACATGTTTTTTTTTTTCAGAGAATGCCACTTTATTGTCTTCTGCCATTAATTTGATTGATTAATCAGTGTATCACAAACAAAATATAATTATTTAGTCCAAAAGAGGAAGAAGGGCAGGACAAGACATAGAGTAAATATTATTATTACGGACAATCAACTTCTCATTTCCATAATCCTGTGTGAAAATCTGTTTTTATTTGTGCTTTGACTGAGACATTCTATCTATCTATCTATCTATCTATCTGTCTGTCTGTCTGTCTGTCTGTCTGTCTGTCTGTCTGTCTACCTACCTACCTACCTACCTATCTATCTATCTATCTATCTATCTATCTATCTATCTATCTATCTATCTATCTATCTATCTACCTACCTATCTACCTACCTATCTATCTATCTATCTATCTATCTATCTATCTATCTATCTATCTATCTATCTATCTATCTATCTATCTATCTATCTATCTATCTATCTACCGGTCTGTCTGTCTGTCTGTCTACCTACCTACCTACCTATCTATCTATCTATCTATCTATCTATCTATCTATCTATCTATCTATCTATCTATCTATCTATCTATCTATCGATCGATCTATCTATCTATCTACCGGTCTGTCTGTCTGTCTGTCTGTCTGTCTACCTACCTACCTACCTACCTACCTATCTATCTATCTATCTATCTATCTATCTATCTATCTATCTATCTATCTATCTATCTATCTATCTATCTATCTATAATATCTATTTCAAATAAATTTTGTCTTTTGGACTTTCTGTTCATCAAAGAAACCTCAACAAATGACAATTTACACAAAATTATCAAGCAGCAGCGAGTTTCAACGTTATTAAGAAGAAATGTTTTTAGCAACAAATCAGCATATTAGAACGATTTCTGAAGACTGGAGTAATGATGCTTAGAAAGTAGTATTCTGAATTGTTATCACATGATCTCACTATGTTGCATAGAGTTTTCATCTCTTTTTTTTTTTAGATAATTTTAATCTAATTTTATGTAGAGATGTCTTTACTCCTGGCAGTCTGACAAAATAAGTCAATCAAAAGTTACACATCATATTAGATACCACTTCTCCATTCATCGCACTTGAAATATAAGGTCAAGTACAGCTATATGCATAGAGAAAATTTCCATAGTGTGCTTAGTATACAGTACTGTTGCAAAATTAGAATGTTGCAAAAGATTGATATTTCAAATAAATGCTGTTCTTTTGTACTTTATGTTCATAAAAAAATCCAGAAAAAAATTAAAAACATTTATATGAACACATACCCTACTGTTTAAAAGTTTTGGATTAGTCCGTTATTTTTAAATAACTTTATTCAGTGAGGATGCATTCATTTGATCGAAAGTGTGATAAAGACATTTATTATGATATAAAATATCAAATAAATGCTGTTCTTTTGAACGTTCTATTCATCAAAGAATCCTGAAAAAAATTAATGTATCACAGTTTCCACAAACATATGAAGCAGCACAACTTTTTTCAACAATGTTAATAATCAGAAATGTTTCCTGAGCAGCAAATCAGCATATTAGAATGATTTCTGAAGGATCACGCGACACTGAAGACTGGAGTAATGATGCCGAAAATTCAGCTTCGCATTACAGAAATGAATTACATTTTACAATATATTCAAATAGAAAACAGTCATTTTAAGTTGCAAAAATATTTAACCATTTTAAAGGTTTTACTGTATTTTTTATCAAATCGATGCAGCCTTGCTGAGCATAGGAGACTTTTTTTCCACAACAAAAAATAAATCAATCTTACTGACTCCACACTCTTCAGTGGTAGTGCACACACTAGTTTCTTTCATATTTAATAGTTAGTTTCTCATTCCAAACATGTGTTTGGAGTTTGTCTGCTCAGTTTTCATTCATGCGTGTCATTGCAGCTCAGGTGCTGACACAGCGAATCAGAGGTCATGCATTTCATCTCAACGCTAATTCTCACTGATGATTGGCTATATGCGCTGTTATGAGTTCCTTAAGGAACCAATCAGATGTTCATTAGTATTCATATGCAAATATCTGCTTGACCTGACTCCTAATGTCATGCATTTTGTTCACTTAAACAACTGATCTGTGTATTTGTGTTTATGATGTATAACCATTACCATAATTCCCCCCATGTGTGTGTGTGTGTGTGTGTGCATGTGTGTTATTTTAGTTAATAGTTCTGCTGACAGAAAGTCACAGATAGTGACAGTTCTGACACGTTTTTAATGAACCTTGCGCCCTGGATGTGTGACTTCATGAGGTGCACAGTGTGTGAGTGTGTTTTAGGGTGACTTTAGTATTGATGGTCTCAAGGTGCTTTCAGTTTAAGCTGTCAGTGTTGAGTTTACTATTTCACACTTACTATATGAAAAAAACTAAGCAAATAACATGTTTGACCTTTTTAGCTCATGTTAGAAAAAATGTACCAGGTTTATTACTAAAACCATAAAAAAGCATTAAAATAAAAAGAAAATATACCAAAACTATTTCAGCTTGTTGCCATGGAAACATTTTTCATTTTCATTTAGTTTAACGTGATGTACTAAGATAACCGAACAGAAAAAAAATAAAACTATATAGACATATTCAAAAACAAAAATTAATAAAAAAGAATTCAGAAAAAATTCATTCAAATTATGATTCAATGATGCTAAAATAACACTGGCAGGTACATTTACTTATTTTACATTTTTAAATGATTCTTCTGGTGATTTATTGTTTTTGTGTGAATGAATATTAAAATTCTATTTAGTAACACTTCATAAGGGTTTATTTGATAACATGAGTTAACATGAACTAACAATGAAAAATCATTCTAAAGCATTTATTAATCTTAGTTATTGTTAATTTTTCAACATTTACTAATGCACTATTAAAATCAAAAGTTGTATCTGATAATATTATTTAATGGACTTGAACTAACAATGAACAGTATTTTTACTAATGTTACCAAATATTAATTCTGTAACAAATGTATTGCAAAATGTAGGTAACGCATTAACTAATGTTAAGTAATAGGACCTTACTGTA